GATTTTCTGGTTGAAGGAAAGAAGTTAAAAATAGACATTTATACACCATTCGATAGACAATTTCAAGAGCTACATTTTGCACTATTTATATTTGAAAAAAGGATTATTTCGATTTTCCGCCTAATTTTCGCCTATATGCCCACTGTGATCCGATGGCTAACTCGAAATAACGTTAAAAGTGCCGGGACTAGGGATTTACATTACATTTTACAGAAAATAATTTATTTTTGATTTTCTGATTTTTTCTTCTATGTAGCTGCTCAGAACCGGATTACTTTTTATATAGAAAGATAGACAACTTTTTGTCGTCGCTAAGCTGTGAGCAATATTTTTTCGTAAAACAGCATTCAGTTTATTAAATATACTTAATTAGTTACGATTTATTCATTTTACTTTATTTTTCTGCTTTATCCATAAGATATTATAAAGAAATATGTCGGTCAGAACTGTTGTATAATATATTACATACATTGAGCCGCTATGGCTGAGTGGTTATGTTGTTCGGCACGTACTTCAAAGGGACAGTGTTCGAGCTCGGCGCCACCCAGTCATAGAATAACCTTGGACAAGTTACTAATGCCTATTGTCTCGGATCACCCGTCCGATAGCATGCTCACTACGTTGTGACATACACCGGTAGTTCGGTGCTAGTATGTGGTTAGTGAGTGTGTATGGCCCAAGCAATTGGGCGAAAAGAACTCTGTGTCAGGCTGGCCTTCCGTCCAGAGCTACAGCTTGCTTGGTGACTAGTAGGAGCCGTCTCTGAAGATCATCAGCTGTAGGGAAGATATCGGGTTTATCGAAACTGCTTCGGCAGCACCCTACACCGCACGGCGGGATATTCTTCCTTCTTCCTTTCAGAACTGTTGCCATTTTATAGTTCACATTGTGAAAGTGACTTGATAGGCTTTTTATAAGTGACTCAATGAACTTTTTCTAAATTCTAATGTCACCATTTAATTCAGCGTAATCGGATATGACGTTTATCTATAGATTGTTTTATTTGATCCAGTTTTTTCTCATATTTAATCTTGCAAAAAAAAAAATGATAAGAAAAATGACATAAATAAGAAAAGAAAATGAAACAGACAAAAAGATATAAAATTTTTCTGTTCAGGTTTGTACATTGTTAACTTTCTTTTCTATTACATGTAAAACTAGCGATAGATAAACGTCATTTCTACTTCGTATTACTCACGAGAGTTAGAATTGGTTTTTTCCCGTTTTTAAAGGAAACTTTTCAAACTGACGTCAACTTTTGTACTTTGATTAACTATAATGTTTTAATTTTGTAATAAATTTCAAGAAAAAGCTGTCATACAAAAACAAACTTATGCTAATATTTTAAAACTATTAATGTTGAAAAAAAGAGTTTAATTAGTATAAGTTCACAGTTCGTATTTTGGGCTAAAAAGAATTTTGTGTTGATTAAATATGCTGGCGTTGATTTGATTTGTTTGCAGCATGTTGTTTCCAAACCAATTGTTTCTGTAGGAGTTATGACTCGCTTACAGATTGATTTGATCGACATGAGAACGAGAGCGGATGCCGTCTCGTCCACTGATACAGTGTATTAGTAGACGAAACATGTCTAACAGTGCCTGGATCACAGAGTAATGTAACATTTTTTGAAAATATAGCATGATGTTTTCTTTCTTTTCCGCGTGAAAGCAACTGGTTTTCTCCAACTTTGTAAATTCAGGTAGATTCAAAAAAATCTAGTTATCTAGATGCATCGAGTAAAAGCGATACACTAGATGCAAGAGGCGAAGCATCGCCTACCAATATAGGAATATTGAAGCGAAAAAACAGCAATATTTAGCGCGATGCAGCAACAGTGCATCAATTTTTTTTGACAGTTTCTGTGTCTGGTTTAGAGCGCTGCAGCTAGATACAAAAAAGTAAAAAAAACAATGTATACGAGAATCGAACTCGAGCACTTCGTGTCAGAATATACATATCATATATAGAATTTTATATATATACTTATGAACGCGAGGGAAAGCACGGAATCCTGGAATCCTGGAATCCCACGGAATCCTGGAATCCTGGAATCCCACGGAATCTCATAGAATCTCGCAGAATCCAATGGAATCCTGGAATCCAAAAGAATCTAAAGGAATCCTAGAGAATCCTCAGAAATCCTAGAGAATCCTAGAGAATCCTTGGAATCCTAAAGAATCATAGGGAATCCTTGGAATCCTAAAGAATCATAGGGAATCCTTGGAATCCAGGGGAATTCAGGATTCCAGGATTCCGTGCTTTCGCCCTTGCTTATGAAGCATTTACCGACTATAGGCTATCCAGGCACATTGATCTACTTAATCGATATCTGTCATATCATGATGCAAATATCAAGGAAGTAAAGTTCAAACAATGAAAAAATTGGAGTGCTGCTTTGGGAAAACGGAACAGAATAAAAGACAAAACAGTTCTGTGCGGAGTAAAAAAGGTTCTGAGAGCGCCTATTAACTCCAGCTTTCAATGACAGGATAATCCATGTTTTATCACTATAGATTATTGCACCATCTCAAACGAATATCAGAATATACTGAAGTTTACAAGAAAATAGAGATAAATGATAGCCTCGGTGCAATAGTTTCGTTATTCTCTGGTGGCTTGTGGATGTAGTAATACAGCCATACTCGGTCAGTACGGTAGATATAGAAAGTACAGGTCTAAAATGACATTCTGGTTCGACAGTATTATTAATCCGAATGGTTTGAACGTCAGTATCTCTCGGATACACATTCTACACAAGTCCAAGCATGATGTTATCATTATATGTGATTCATTAAGCTAGCTGTATCGACTATTACTAGATACACAGTTATTTATTTATTCTTTAAAAATCTCCATCGTCTTTTGGTCGATGCATCCAGCAGTTCATCGTCCATATCTGGCTGCATCGAGCGATGTTCGATTCAACTCTTGTCTTTTTGCGATGAAGCCAACTGCGTCCACTAGTGAATCTATTAAATAGAAAAGTATAAAAATATGACGATGCAATAGAACAGCTTCGCTAAATAAATAAAGATTATCAGCTGTAGGGAAGATATCGGGTTTATCGAAACTGCTTCGGCAGCACCCTACACCGCACGGCGGGATATTCTTCCTTCTTCCTTTCAGAACTGTTGCCATTTTATAGTTCACATTGTGAAAGTGACTTGATAGGCTTTTTATAAGTGACTCAATGAACTTTTTCTAAATTCTAATGTCACCATTTAATTCAGCGTAATCGGATATGACGTTTATCTATAGATTGTTTTATTTGATCCAGTTTTTTCTCATATTTAATCTTGCAAAAAAAAAAATGATAAGAAAAATGACATAAATAAGAAAAGAAAATGAAACAGACAAAAAGATATAAAATTTTTCTGTTCAGGTTTGTACATTGTTAACTTTCTTTTCTATTACATGTAAAACTAGCGATAGATAAACGTCATTTCTACTTCGTATTACTCACGAGAGTTAGAATTGGTTTTTTCCCGTTTTTAAAGGAAACTTTTCAAACTGACGTCAACTTTTGTACTTTGATTAACTATAATGTTTTAATTTTGTAATCTTGGCTAGATAAGAAAGAAAAAGACGTAACACAACTCTATAAATATCATCACATTATTTCATTTTTATTTAAATTCTTTTTATATATAATACATACATACAGCATATGAAATATTTGAAAATCATGTTATTGGTTACATTTTTTTCTTATTAACATACGTTGATAATATTTTTATTCTAAAATATGACTAGTGATCATATTGATAATATGATTATTCCATTAGACATTGACAATAATAATTTAAATAAAAGTGAAAATTGTTGTTGGATTAAATATAAGAGTAGTCAATTGAACGCACCTGTTGATGCTATGGGTAAAATAAGTACGTTAGAAGAAATACAATTAACATTTGGAAATCATATACAAGCATGTCCATATGATAATATTACATATTATAAAAATCTTTCAAATCGTGCTGGTGAAGCAGGTTATGGACCAAAATATTTTGCTGTTGATAAAAATAAAAATGTTAATGGAATGGAAAGTGTTTATTATTTTGATGACACAATAAATAAATGGCGTGGATATGTATCAGTTACAAAGGTCACATTTGAAAATCCATTTGAACGAGGTGGTCATATGTCTGATTCACCAGTTGATGATAGACGCGTTTAAAATTAAACATTTGTTTGCAAAAAAAATTTAAAACAAGACTATGATTTGTTACATTTGTCTGAATATTTTATTAAAAATGAAAAATAAATGAAAGTATTTTCATATATAGCAATAAATAAACATAATAGATACTCAAACCGAAGAAATGTATTTCGATTCTAATCTGATATGTGTTGATTGTGCTACATAAATCGGATAGATTAAAAAGAAATGATTAAACCAGAGTAATCTTGTAGACACATGGTGTATAGATATATTTTGATATAGCAATGTGAAAAAACAAATCTAGGCAGTCCGTTGTCATTTGCCCAATTGGACAATATTACCTGAATAGGCAAGGTCTGATCTCGAGAACCATCAGTCGTCTAATGGGCGGTAAGTGTTCATTGTACTCCTTGTGCACTGACTATTCCCCGTATATTGAAGTTATGTGTTCAACCTGCTTTCTCTGTTAGGACAGAGACGAATAGCAAATGTAGCTCAATTTTGAGCATTTATCTTGCCCGATTTGGCAATACTGCTCGATGGAGCAAGATTGATATTGCCCGTTTCGGTATGTATATATATAAAGGGCGTTCTAGAAGTTCTGAAGTAATTTTAAAATAAATCATTCTAAAATTACTTCAGAACTTCTAGAACACCCTTTATACATATTTAATATGTTGATGTAACAATTTTGTATTCCATCCGGACTAACGAAAAAGACTAGATGTCACACTGTATTCTCATCTCATGTAGAATTTTTTCAGTTAATTTCTGCGTTAAACATTGAAATAACGCAGAAAAGAGCAACTTGCGTACAAAATTTTGCAAAAAAACGTCAGCTAACGCAGAATTTTGTCGATAATCTTTTAGTTACTTTTTGCAAAATTTTGTTTTTGCACAAAATATGACAAATTTATTGTGGATTTTTGCAAGAAACAAAGTTTTGCAAAATTACTCAAGTCAAATTTTTTTCACGATTTCTGCAGAAAAGTGCCTTTTTTGCCAAACAAACAGAAAAACGATAGTTTTTTGCCTTTTATCGCAGAATATTTTTTTTTGTATTATACTGCGTGTGATTTTTCGATACAATTTTTTGCAAAAAAATTTTTTAGTTTAACGTCGCAACAAAACGATGATTCACTGCTATGACTCATCGGTGAGTCATCATATTTAGTATATAATTTGAAAAAGCGGAATTTGTGCAGCCTTATATCTATATCAATGGTCGCTTTTCCACTATGGAGTCACTTAGAAAGTGAACGCAGGAAGTACATTCATTTTCCAACTGCGATCATGCTGTCTTGCACAAAACCGATCAGTCAAGCATGATAACCTGATCGAAGCAACTTTTTTTGGTGCTATTTTGTATAAATATTGTTAAAAATAAAACATCTTTTTTTTGCAAAATTACGCAAAATAAACGCTGAGTCATCATGATGACTCATCGTTGTCTTGGAAACACACCAACTGCATTCTTGCGTTGTAACGCAAAAAATTTTTTTTGCAAAATACGGCAGAAAATTACGCAAAATTTTGTTTACACAAAAAACTGTATTTATTTCGCTCGTGTAACCATATTTGCGTTACTTTACTTAGGTTTTTGCATGCGTTTTTCTGCGTAAAATTTGAAAAAATTTTTTGTGGTTTTGGCGACATGGGATGGGATGCAATCAACTTTAAAGACGCTTTTCTCGAATAACTAATAAAAATAAAAATAATCTAACAACTGTATCTAATTTATCACTTTTAGACGATGACGATTCGATCTTTGATCCCAAAATTGTAAAAGAACGAAGATTTTTTTGTGCCCGAAATTAAAGCAAATTTGTGCCCGTTTTAAGATCTTTTGTGTTTGGTTCCGGTACAAAAAAATCTTTTTACACTTTTGTGCCCGGAGCAGTGGCGTTCAGAAATTTTTAACTACTGGGCCTTTCTCCAGCCAAATTATTTTGAGAGATGGGTAGCAATGGGCAATTGGAAAATCTATTGGGGAATAATTTTTGAAAACGTATTGACACTATAAAAGCCGATGGTTACGGAAGAGAAATTCGTCAACCTCAACTAACAGAACAGCTAAGCATTCATCAGCAAATTTATATGTAGTACCGAGTTTTTAATGAAAGGGTATCATTGAATCGTCATCATTGAGACCATTAGTTAAATAGAAAAGACTGTTGATTGATTTTTCTGCAACAACTGATTAGATCTTATCTTGAGAAGTTCATTAAAATCACATCATTTAAGTCACCAAACGTACACGAGTATCAAAATTTTTTTGCAGTGGGCAATTGCCATTATCTCAAAAAACTGGTGGGCAATAAATTTTGGACTGGTGGGCAATTGCCCAATTGTCTACTATCTGGATACGCCACTGGCCCGGAGACAGATATGTGTCCGGTTTTGATTAGATTAGGGATAATAATGAGAAAGGCATCTCAGGTTATTATCATTATTTATGTACTGAGGTAGTGGCAAATAGAACGAACAGACAGAATATGTAAGTAGAACAGCTAAACACCAGACAACGCATTTCCTGCTTTTCTCGGTCTTCCGCGTCGTTTCTGGAAATTTTGTAATTTTGCTGGCTCTTTTACAATATAATAACCAAAATGCATCATTAAACTAATAGCATGCTTACATACATATGTTTTCAAATTTGATCTACACGAACAACTCATTGAACTTGCAATAAGTCGGCCGGCTTTCATCCATTGAGAAAAGTCGAAATTTGTGTACTTGGAACATGACTAGTATATTCATTTTGTACAGCACGACATGTTTGAGATTGAGTTAATCCAGCTGCTACTGATTTTTTGACAATATTTTTAACAGGTGATAGCGCACGAGTTGTACTAGCACGATTATCATGATTATGTTCACTAGATGTTGAAACAACAATTTTTTTTTCATAGTAATACAGTCATCTGTATTAATGCCAGAATTGTAGATTACACGAATTTGAGAATCGCATTCAAAATATTTTCTAGCTTGAGCATATCGATATGTTACTTTTTTTCCAAGAGCTATTGTTTCAGTCCGTTTTATTGAAACATTATTTTGTTTTATAAATTATTTCATATTCGTTTCACCAGAAAATTCTTCTACAAAATTTCACCCTGTCCGAGTCATGGTTTAACGGAAGTTTAGTTGAAAGTTTCCTTTTGAATTCAGTTTTAGAAATTTTCTATTTGTGTATGATATATCAATCGAATTTACCAAAAAGATTCTTGATAAACATTGCCGGTTTTTGAATACTGTATAGTAGTTTATGTATCTTGTACATGAACATATAGACGTATGTCACAAGCGATATCTGTCAGAATAACTTATGTTTACCTCTAGTTTTACTATTAAATTTTCTCGCACACAAACGGGGCACAAATCAATAACATCCACACACATATCTGTCTTCGGCCACAAAAGTGTAAAAAGATTCTTTTGTACCTGCATCGGGCACAGAAAATCTTAAATGGGCATAAATCTGTATTAATTTCGGACACAAAAAATCTTTTATCCGCTGTAAACAAAAGTAAATCGGCGATTTTTAGACGATTTTCCAAAATAAATTGAGACGGTTTTAAAATATTGTTTCGACTATATATATTTTATGATATTTGAATTGTTGATGGGTAATAATCGAAGCAAAAATAAGATTTTAACAGCAGCTGTATATAAGTTCAAATGACTTTATACAAAGATGCTGTTAAAATTTTATTTTTTCTTATATCTATTGAGCTCTTCAAAGCTTGAAGAAAAAATACTATTGATTGGTTTCAGTTTCTCATTACAAATGAACATTTAACGAACTAATTAAATCTGTAAATAGTTATCATATTATTTTGTTATTCAGAAATCTTGCAGCTACGAACAGGCTTATTTTGACCCCTACTTAAGCGTCATCTTCAAAGCATTGATAGCTATAGCCTCGAAAACTATCGATACTGATGTAGTACCATGAGATCTGTATTGGCTGAAAAGTTGGTATAATTTCTTTCTTTCTCCGAGCATAATTAATGGTTTCGTTCATGTTTCGAATCACTTCAGCAACGACATATTAACACATTTATGAATAGATTAACAAGATCTGAACACCATCAACCGTCGGATTAAATAATTCGGCACATCGACATAAACGTTAATTCAGCGCTTCGTCTACCATCACCGCTTTCAACCTCAGTTAAGGTAACTGTAACAATCAGATGATCATATTTTGCTCATCTGAGTACACAACATGTATACAATCGAATAATTATGGGTGATTTAATATTCGAGACTAATCATAACTTTCAGATAATGCATAAAAAAGTAATAGCAAAGCCTTTAGTCATTTCGAACAGACCGGCAATGTTTATCAAGGATCTTTTTCGTAAATTCGATTGACATACGAGCAGCAAAGTATCTCTTTATTGAAATTACTTTTCGCATTTTCGCACGGATAGTGGCACTGGTCACACGACTAGTCGCTCAGGAATTATCAGTGTTTCGCAACGTAATAACTCAGCATTATAATGAAGTCTTTCAAGTTCTTTGAGTGTTTGTTATTTAAGATGATTTTGAGATGCTTCTAGTAGCAGCATTTATATGAAATAATTTATTTCATGGCCGCATTTCTCGGTCTGTCTAAGAATCGAAGTCGCTTTTTGTAGAATGCACGTATGCACATAGTAAAAAGTCTTCTATCGCAATTTGCGTTCCAGTAAAATGTGCAGCTTTTGTAAGAAAATTGTGTCACAAAAGAATGTGTCGCATGTTTGTGTTCAGGGTTCCCGATCAGGAGGGGCAGGGAGGTGCTGATCCCTCCCTAAAAAGTTTTTGGACTTTCTGGTAAACTTTTTGACGTTTTTCCATCAGCAACTTTCTGCCATAAAATTTTGAAAACTCTTTTTCGTCAGCCACTTTCTGCGAAGCAAAGTTTTTAGCCCCTCCCACCCCTAAGAACAATCGGAAACTCTGTTTGTGTCGCCTTTACTAAGAATGTTTAGACACAGTCCTTGAAGCCATGTGAGCATTATCGCCAAATCGTTTTTAAACCCTATACAAAATCGATATAAATTTGGAGCCAGCACCCCCCTGATCCGGAACCCTTGACACAAACACGCATTCTTCTGAGATACAATTTTCTTACAGAAGCTGCACATTTACTGGAACACAAAATGCGACAGAAGACTTTTTACTATGTCCGTACGGGCATTCTACAAAAAGCGACTTCGATTCTTAGACAGACGCAGAAATACGGCCATGAAATAAATTATTTCATATAAATGCTACTACTAGAAGCATCTCAAAATCATCTTAAATAAAAACAAATTGAAATAGTCAAATTCAGAATTTTTTTATTCACAAATTGTTTTTTTCCGGGTTTTTTTTCGAAACGGTACAATGCCAATGCAACTCACTCATATATATATATTCACGTTCAAGGAACGTCAACGTGATTTAGCGTTACGTTCAAAGAGAACGCTAAATTAGAACGCTGAACTTTTGCAGGCCTACACAGGATCATCTACTGCAAAAGAACGGAAACATGTCTAGAGCTCGCGGTTGTATGAATTTGAAGTAGACACTATCTAGTAGTTATCATAGAATTCTTAAGTCTAAGTAATGTGTCGTTATGGAGTTGTACGTAGTTTACATTGACAGTTTACTTAGATGGCCGAATTTGTGCATTTTTGGGCTCTTTGAATATCTCAGCAATGTAACAACTTTAGGATCTGCGGTTTTCGCCGAAATTCATGAAAATGTTTGCTTTAAAGAAGTCCACTATGTTGAAAGAAATTTGAGATGGTCGCTTGAGCACATTAGGTCGTGGCTTATCTTTAATGGCTCTTAAGGACCTTGTCTTGTCAGTTATGACTATTTTAATGTTGTCCGTAAGAAGGCAACAATGAGTTGATTCGAGTACTATAAGTTTTCAGTTGGTTTAAACATACATTGCCCTGTCACTAAGTATTATCTATAACCTTTGACCTACGCACTTATAATATTCAGCTTTCATCTTTTCAGCATCAGCTATTTTCCGTAATACGAACGTATATGTAACGGATGATCTGTAGAATAAGATTAAAGAATGACGAAGCTATTGTTTTAAACCACAGTCGAATTATTCAACTGATCGAAAACGTCAGTAAGACATATTTCTTGAGTAACTTTATGTTTCACTAACTCTTGGTCAATTTTGATTAAGTCATACGAATGTTAATGAAGTTAACTAAAGAAATAATTGCCAGAATTTATAAGTTAGACTTATTTGTCATTTTCGTCTTTTATATGTTCCTACCGTTCGTTCCTTGTCTTGTAACGATGTGACCTATGATGAAAATTGACATTGATCAATCATATCGAAGCTAAACCATTCGCGAGACTCTGATCACGGTAGGTAGATTAATTCATCGATACATTGATGATGATGAGAATGTGAAGTATGACTTAACCTTTTGGTACAGAATTTGGTTATCTTCAATGATTGAGAGTGATTCTTCGACGATGTATTTTATGTGTACATCGTCAAATAATTTACACACTCTTTATGTAAATAATCATAACTGTCGACGTACTTCTGTCAGCCGCTTTAGTTTCATTATTTTTTTCATATGGTAAAAATACCACCACTAAACTGACATGTGTTTCTTTCTTGTTTCTGCTTATTCTGTACTTTCAAGAAACAGAAAAATGACTCACAAAGTGTATAAGAACGAAGTAAGATAAAATTGTATACTGTATAAATATTTGATGGAATTTGTTTTATAAGAATGAATTTCTATTCATCGTAACAATGATTCCATGTACATTCCACGTGATTCCACGTACATTGGTTGTACGAGAAAAAAACGAAAATAGAAGATTTATTTACATTATATATTGCTCAAGATTTATTTTAAAACATCAACATCGTTATGTTCTTTAAAAGAAAACGATGTGTATCATCCCATTATGACATAAAATACTTCTTGTGATTGTTCGCTTATGATTCAGAAGGGTGCAAAAACAGAGCGCAATTTTTGTCGAACTTTTCATACGCCATTCGAAAGAGCGTTTAACGCTGATCACGAATATATATGCTTGGATTTTTCAAAACCGGTTTTTCATGTCGAAAAATCGTAGAAAATCGATGGATGTCACAAGTCGAAAAATCCTCGATTCAGTAAAGGTCGGATTTTCGACTTATAATTTTGAAACTATTTTTCTTTCTTATTTTGTGAAAAATCTCGGTAATTTTTCAACGCGAAAATTCGAAAAACTTTAAAGTACTCGGATACGATAAGGACACAAATCAATCGGGTCACCTTTTGATCGCCTTTCCAAATATGATATTTTTATTGCATAGAAGTTGAGTTCAGATGGAGAAAATTAAGAACTACGAGCAGAATTCCGACGTTTTCGCCTCTGATTTAGAAAAAATGGATTTACTTAGCAAATGCTTTAGCAAAAAAGAGAATTTCAGAAAAGCTCGACATACTTTTGAAGCTGGGCCTCTGAAGAACCTTTCATGGTACAAACGACGGCTCTAGCACCTCACACAAAAAAGCAGGCAGATTTCGAAAAATTGTTTTCCTTCCCTTGGACTGTCAAGTAGCGACGTCCCTGATGGACAGTCATTTAGCTTTGAAACTGATTTAAGACATCTTTCCGGTTTAATTTTTAATGCTGAATAAGAAAGAAAAATAGTGTCAAAATTATAAACAAAATAATATGTCGAAAATCCGACCTTTTCTGAATCGAGGATTTTTCGGCTTGTGACATCCATCGATTTTCTACGATTTTTCGACATGAAAAACCGGTTTTGAAAAATCCAAGCATATATATTCGTGATCAGCGTTAAACGCTCTTTCGAATGGTGTATAAAAAGTTGGAAAAAAAAATTGCGCTCCGTTTTTGCTTTAGGGGCACCTTATAATTAATACTGCTATGTAAACATTTTAATACAATCCTTTTGGATTTATTCCAGTGTTATTATGGATTTTTCCTTTCCTCTTCTTTCGATTTTTTGCATATTTTGAATTTCCCAAATTTTTTCTTTCGTTCTGCGTGTGTTTTTATATAATATATATACTGCTTCTTTTCTTTTTGTTATTCGCCCTTGAAAGTGATTTCAGTTCTGATCGAAACGTCGAGTGTTTGAATAAATTTAGAAGAATTTTATTAAAATGTTTTTCATAGCACTATTACACTTTATATTTAAAACATCACTTTGTTTCTTTTCTAGGAGAGACTTTTACTTAATTAAATAACGTCTTCATCGTTATGGCCAAGCGATTAAACAAAGATGGAGTGAAAAAAGTAAGCAACCAAAGTTCTATTACTTTCTCAGATCCTTATCTATTTTTACAGTTATTTTTGAAATGGGATAATGGCAATCATATATTGTCACTAGCTGAAATTGATCGAGCAATAACATATTGGAATCCCGAATATGGAACAGATAAAAGAGCGATAATGAGAGCGTTTAGAGCAGCAGACAGTAATGGGGTACGTCTCTTGATTTAGCATTAAGCATTCATGTTTAACAAGTATTAAAATGCTAACTCAGTCATTTTAGAATGGTTTCGTCGACTTATTAGAATTTGGTTTATTACTGGATCTTCTTGTATATTACAATGATCTAAGTCAAAAATTTAAAGTATTGGATATAAATGGTGATAAACGAATCAGTTTTGATGAATTCAAAAAAGGTTACGCACAGGAAGGTCGCAGTATTTCTGATCGAGCTGAGTTGAAAAGAGAATTTGATGCAATAGATACGAATCATGGAGGATATATTCTGTTCGATGAGGTAAGAGAGTTTTACACCTGGTTTTATACATGTTCGACAATAGTCTTGACAATAGTCAAGTTGTCTCTTTTAGTTCTGCATGCATATGGCAAAGAAACGTGTTCAATAAAAGAAGAACTGGTGTTTTAAATGATGTTAAATATTTTTAAATTCTTTTACGCTTTCTTTGTATTCTGTTAGGTATAATAAACTGTAGATTTCAAAATCCAATTGGTAAAGCAGTAGGAAATAGATAAGAATAAACGATAAAACTCCTATAAAAATCATTATTTGATTATTAACTTTAACACAGTATAAAAATATTCATGCAAGCTTTCAGTTTCTTACAGAAGTCATCAGCAGACATTATAACTTTATTGACAATGTTATTTTAATAGCTGTCTTTTTCTATTTTCGTTGTTTATAGTAACACATCCATCTACATTGTTGTCGAATAAGTGGGTATTTCGACAACAACATTGAAAAGTATATTTCTGTCTGTTGAAAAAGGACAAGATCGATATAAAGACAGAGAGAAAGATTAGTATATAGAGTGTTATATAGAGATTGTGATCTTGTTTACGTAGGTGAAATAGAAAGAGAAAAAGAGATTTGCATGAAAGAACATCAACAGAAAATTAGAAATATGCATCAAACTTCGAAAAATTTGCTCGGTATGCTAATCAGAATTCACACGTGTTACCCAGGAAGAAATTTTGGACCTACACAGGTTCTTTTAATGTTTTAAGAAGTTCTCATACGTTAGATTCATGCGTCAGAATAAGGCGTTCGAACGCATTAAAGTACAGAATTTCGCGCCGCTAATACGTGTGGACGTATTAAAAGGACAAAAATCGAACTAGTGAACTAGATTCCTCCCAGCACTCAGGTCCTTTGCGAGACCGATTAACCACAAAGCTAGCTCCCTCTAATAACTTGATTCGTTCAATTAACCTATTCGTACGAATATTATGACAGTGAATGCTTAATAGTCCACTTTTTCCTAATATGCGAAAGTGTTCTTTAATCATAGTATCTTCCGTTGGTTTAGACATAATCTGCCAGACGTAGCAGCTTAATATTGTACCAAAAGATTCGTTGTCTATGGTCTTCATGGGCGATGCTAGATCATGCACCATATACTCAATGTGGTCTCTCCTTTTCAAAAAATTTTCTTTCATTTCACCTCTGACGAAACATATTCATGTTTGTTTATTTTAGGGGGAAAAGCTGAAAAGATCCCGTAAAAATTGCAGAATGGATCCCGTATACTAAAATTTCGATAAAAATAGTAGAAATGAATCCGTATTTAGAAAAAAACAGTTTCGACAGAATTGATCCCGGAATAAACTAATTTTTATATTTATTGTGCAGAATTGATTCCAGTTGACGTGCGGTGCGAATGTAAAAACGGCGTTGAGACATAAACAATAGCAATGTGTAGCGGTCACATTTTTTTCATACTTTTTTCACTCACGTCACTTTTGACTATTACTATCACTAGTAAACAAACTATGGCTCGAAAAACATGGCTATTAGTTTTTACGTGTGTAAACGAAACTTATTTATTAAGTTTTATCAAAACTCAAGGTGTCTGCAAAAATCGAACTGAACAATTGATTGGTGGTTTATCAATTACATATAAATGTTCACAGTACTGAAAATATCCGCTATGCGAGTATGAATTGAATATAGTATATAGAAATCAGCGAAGAGCTTTGAGAAAGAGGATCTTATGTGACTACATACGTCAACTGGGATCAATTCTCTTGTTCGCAGAAAGAAAAATGTTTTCCGGGATCAATTCTGCACAATAAATATAAAAATTAGTTTATTCCGGGATCAATTTTGTCAAAATTTTAGTATACGGGCTTCGTTCTGCCTTTTTTACGGGATCAAAACAATTACCGTCCTTATTTTAGGACGGGTTGACATAGTTGAACACTTCCGTATTTCTTGTTTAATATATTTTCCAAAATTTTACGAAAAAATACTGCGGCTTACTTGACTGAGTATGTTCATTGTCATCAACTGAATCCTTTTTATAATCTTCGTAGTAATTCGTCTTGTCATATTGAAACGCTCAGTGATTATAAGAGAAAATCCTTCTTTGTTGTAACATCGGCTGAATGGAATGACTTCCCATTAACTCAGCAAATGTTAAAACCTATGAAACTCAGAGGAAATTTGAGAAGCACTATCCTTGATCAACGCGCAGTGAAGCGCATTGAACATCGAAAAAATTGTTATTTCCATTAAGAAAATCCACTAGAACAAGAAAACTACCAGATCGTTTACAATATACATAAGAAAACAAAATTTGTTTTTGCTAAGAACTCAACTATTATAAGATTTTATTTTGTTAAATTTTATTTTATTGTGGAAAAAAAAACGAAAAAATTGAGGGAGGATGTTGGGTAGTGAATAGTCATTTTGTTTTAAAATGACGTTTTTGATTTAATGTTAGTACATCTAGATATTCGCATGCCTATTGTATCTTATATAATCTCACTTATTCTCGAAGGTTCTACACTAATGTCCAGGCATGAGTTAAGACTGCAATGTCATGCGAATATACCTAGAACTTTCTACGAATATATAAAGGCATTCGTTTTGTGCTACAAGTAGTTGTATTAAGTTGTATGAAACTGGCAACGTAAGAGAACTTTTAGTCTAAATAAAATTGTTAGAATGCAAAGGAAAGGAGAGTCAGCGAACGACCGTCTCGACAGTAGACCTTTTCAATAGGCCGAGTGTTTTCATAGGATTATTGTCCTAACTGTCTAGTTTCAAAAACCGCAGGACTTTATCTCATTCCTATCAAAAGTTATTCTAAAATCATCCGTGTGCACTATATTTTGAAATGGATAGTAGTTTCTTTTATTGTTGAGAAAATTACTTTTTAAATACATGTGTAGCCATATACCGAATGCATGTCATTTTTTGTGTGATGACAAAAAAAGACGAGAAAGAGCCGTTGATTCTGATATATGTTGTAAATGTTGTCAAGCGATGTCCAATTAGTTTGAAATTTATTAAAAATGTTTTCTAGACCAGGGTAAGTCGAACACATACCTTATACAACGTAATTTTTAACGTTTAGGGTGTGTGTAAAAGAGTCATATGGCATCCACAATCAAAAAACGAGAGACAAGTGATCAGGACAGTTCAAAAAACAAGGTCATTCAATATCCGGAATTGATTCGGATTAAGAAGCAGAAAACAGATATAGTTGAAAATGGAGTAGAGGACTTTATTGAAAACAAAGAGGATGTAACGATAATATGGTTCGAGAAAAGTTTGAATTTAAGTATACGGGATATTAATTTAACAAAAGATCTACTTCGACAAATAAATAATTATGTTCTATTCTATACCGATCAAGATAAATTTATCAAACATACTGATCAAATTAAAAATGAAAAAATTCTTCTGATTCTCTAGGGCTCGTGGGCAACTGCTGATTTATTAGAAAAAGTTCATGGCATCCTTCAAATTGATTCAGTTTTTTTGTTTTGTGTAGAAAAGGATAAATATGAAAAAGTCTTATTATCTGATTTAAACTATAGTAAAATCGTTGATATATTTATTGAGCAAGAAACATTGATGAAAAGTATAAAACAGACAATAAAATTAGTTCAACAACAATATTCGGAATAGAAGTTCGAAAACTGCGCAAAACGTATACTCATCAGATCGCTTGCCACATGTGCCCAGACGAACAGAGTCAGGCCGTCCTTGCTGCCAAAAAGATTACTGAGATGGGACAAAATGAAAATGATTGGACTGTTTGGAGTGCCGTGCCTAAAGTGCTCTACCGATGATGATGATGAGAATAGGTACTTTTCAATCTTCAATGTAAAATGTGTAATACATTATCTGGACGATCGTTATACTTTCCAAAATGATCCTTGAAGTGTTCTGAATACGATTGTTTTATTGAAAAGATTATATACTTGCAGAGTTTCTCCAAAAATTGAACTTATGTGTAATCAGATGGTGCAAATCCTACGACTTTCTAGAAAATTTACTTTCGCCAGAGATGTAATTTTTCCGTGAAGTGTCTTCATATTTTTAAGTCCGGGATGAATTTTTATCCGGAAATCCTACTCGACTGTGCAACTCCACTTGGATGTAATTTCACCCGGATTTAAAAGTCCGTAAAATTTCAGGATGAATTTCTGGTGAGAAATAGAAATCTCTATTTTATTTTATCCACCGCTCACCTGAACTGTCTCATAATGTGAAAGTAACAAAAGAAAACTATTTCACTATGTACAACACACACAATAGTGTACAACAAAAACATAGAATTCAAAACTATACATAGAAGTATGATCTAGCACGGCAAGATGCTGAAGATGCCTTGGAACTCGAGCCAAAGCAAATCAAATATTATCGCGTTCTATCCAAAGCTCTTCTTGGTCTAAATCTTGAAAAGGAAGCAGAAGCTGCGTGTGTCGAAGGTCTCAAGCTGGATCCTCGAGACCCTACATTGCTCACGCGTCAACGTGATTGTAAAGCCGTTTTGGCCATTGAATATTGCGCGAAAAGCAATCCTCGACCAACAAAACCTGATGAATAGCTTGAGCAGCTGCTGGAAAAAATGCACCATCAGCAAGTCAATCCTCCGGCTCAAGTCGAAATTGCAGACATTTCTGATTCGATCACTTTTCTAGCAGCTCAGAAGATAATGATGGATGCTCGTACGCTCTATCAAAGCGGTCGGTCTAGCACTGAGGCACGTGTTGTTGAATTATGCTCGAAAGCAGCGGCGATGAATTCTGCAGAAGGTCGTCAAAACATGTCTGTATTCTATGCCGAAGGTTATGGCGATCTTTTGCGGGGTTTTGCTCGTAGTAAGCAGCATTGCGAAGCGGCTGCTTCCCAGAAGCCATTCTGTCTGATGGTAGGACTGGAAACTAGCCCTGAAAACTGGCTCTGGAGTGAAAAAGAATAACGTTTCAGCGGTATGCCAAAGCGGCAGAGCAAGGTATCGCTGGAGCCGAAGAAAATTATGGAGATTTTCTTAAACTTGGCATCGGAGGACCAACTGATGTGACACAAGCGCGTATTTTCTATCGGCGTGCTGCAGATCAAGATCAGCCTGATGCATTTCGCAAACTGCAAGAGCTGGAACGGAAAACCTGAATCATTGTTTCGAAACATTGATGATCCAAATCTTCTTATTCTTCACGGGTCGAATTACGCGTGCGGTGAGGCAATTTCCCGCAAGCTTACGAACGAGCGGAACAATGTTACCGTAAAGCAGCCGAGAGTGGACAACATACGAATGCAGAGCTAGCTCTGGCCCAACTGTTGCTCCAGCATTTAAAGCGCAACAGCGAAGGGTTGGTTTAAACCAATTTTATTTAAAAGTATAGCAAATGGCAAAGAGTACAAAGAGTACAATGTACCCACTTCAGTACTGTTATAGTATCAATTAAGTAGACAATATAAGTATGCTACGTGGAGAAAGAGAAGGAAGTGACAATAAGAAAATCAAAGAAAGGGAAACAACAACTGATAATCTAAGAGGGAAAGTATAAAAACAAAAATAAGATAAAGAAGTGATGAAGAAGGCTTCCAGTTCATGAAAAAAGCGGCAGAAAAAGGACACTCTCTTGCTCAGCTCTACTTGGGCAAACTCTACGCTTTCGGACACGGATGTGAACGCAATGAAGATGCAGCCAGACGCTGGCTGAAACGCGCTTCGATGCAGGGATTAAAGGAGGTGGTTATTGGTGAATCTACAAACATCGATGACAGCGAATTGATGAATGTTCAAACGGATGAAATAATTGAACGGGAAAAAGTATGCTTGAACATGAAGAGCCAATGAAGTTATCGATGGCCGACATGTCTCTCGAAGAAACGATTGGAACGATATGCCGACATACTCGACCTTCTCATGTGCATCCCTTTCTCTCCAGGCACGCGAGCCTTCCTGCAGACATTCACAAAAAATCGCAGCGAACACGAAGACGCACGTAGGCATATCAAGTTGGCCCAAATGGCCGATGCATCGGAGCATTGTCTTCCTTGCCACGAGCCACTCGAAGAGAATCATCCACTAAGGTTAATTCTCGGATCCTGGATAACGCCCTTAACGGCTCCCATGGGAATGACATTCAATCTCACGGCCCAGCAGCTTTGCGCCAACTGTGGAAAATCGAAACCACCCTCTAAATGTGTGCGCCGGAAAATAAGTTACTGCGGCAAGACATGTTAGAAAGAACATTGGAAGTTTCACAAAATGGATGCGGAACATTTAAAGAGGGATAGAAATTAGAAAATTAGCGGCAAGCTTCACGCTGAACCAAATGAGGCCAAACGCCGGTTCTACATGTAGAGCTTTACGGCGAAACTGACAGCGGGCTTCTTTTAATTCCATAGCTCTAATTAATTATCTACCTTCTCTTAGTGTTTTCAGTGAGATTCTTCGCGCAGCGTATGTGCGCACTGTGTTTTTCCAGCTGCAACGTGTTGGTACAATCTGATTCCTTTCAGAAAAGTGGGCAGATTCTATAAGAAAAAGCCTGTAGCAAAAAAGATAAGGGGATCTTTCTTCCATATATTACTAACGAGGCACTCCATGGTTTCAACAATTTAGCACAGTCTTTTCGAGAAAGATCGAGTTACAATAAGCCATTTTTGATGGTCAATGTAAATGAAGTATTGGATATTAAATAATCGAAACTAATTGATGTAAGTAAAACCTATTACAAAAATTTCGCTAGAATATACATATTTTGTATCGGGACTATATAGCCTACACTGCTTTTTTTTCTTTTCTTTTCTGGTTTATCGCGCAGGTGATAAGTTGTTTTAGAAAAGAACAAAGTTTATCTTTTCAAAGAAAATGAAATGGATGTTGAAAGTATGCTGACTAAAAAGTGGACCTTTGAAACGACAAAAGCTGACGTTGAATCATTTTAAACGATATTTTTTCTGTGTTCTTTATTAGCACACCTGAACACACATTTTTCCTGTTGTCTTTCATTTCTTTCTTCTTCTTTCAACGCGTATTCTTTCTGCAGTGTTGTAATAATTTATAAGTTAAAAAGCCACATTTCTCTGAAAATATATTTAATAGAAAAGATCAAACCACTCTTATAAAACAAGGGTGAGTCTATTGCCACTCACAGCAACTGTTTGTGAGTGTCAGTCAGAGGCTATTGGCATTCCCTAGAAGTGGTAATAAAATACTACTGGTACTTCAAGGATTGCTCGTGAGTGTCACTTAGTAGCTACTGGCACTCTCATACAAAAAATTTTGCTGGAAGTGTCAACAAGCAGCTATTGCCCCCACCAAGGAACTTCGTGTAAAAACTGTGCCGGAAAACTGAATTATTCTCCGGAGCCAAGCATTTTACATTAAATGTTCTGTTTTCAGAAAAAAGGTCATACCTGTTTTTTTCAAAGAAAGCGCTGTGTGTTAGGAATTATACGGCTGCAAAACCTACAAAATCAGCGTCGAAAGGTTTTTCTCGCACTGATAAGGAACGACTTCTTTTGCGATTCAACTTGCTCATGTTGATACTTCTTATGAGTGTCAATAGCCATTCCGATAAAATAATCATTTAAAATTCATGCTTATCACAAAATAAAAAATAAAGTTTCCCTTGTCCATCTATGAAAAATTACATCATATATTTTGTAGGACAGAATGAGCTCTACAAACGTGAATGTCGTTTACCCAAGGGGGAAAGCACGGAATCCTAGAATCCTGAATTATCCTGGATTCCAAGGATTTCCTATGATTCTATAGGATTCCAAGAATTCACCAGGATTCTCTTGGATTCTCAGGAACTTTCCCCCAAAACAGAACATTTTGTTCTGTTTTGGAGAGAAGTTTTCCAAAATATAGAACACTTTTATTCTGTTTCGGGAGAATGGTAGTATCCCGGATTCCATCGGAGTCCACCAGATTCCATCGAAGTCCACCGGATTCTACTAGATTCCCTAGAATTTCAGGATTCTAGGATTCCGTGCTTTTTCCCCTTGTGTTTACCTTTCTTCATTTTATCCTTTTTTTGAAAAACTCAATGTTTTCATGCAATTTTATTTTTTTTCTGGTCGATCTTCGGCCTTCTAGTCGTAATTTAAATTTGATATATATATATACAGTATGTTATATTTTCCGTATGTTTCCTAACGATGATAAGTGAAACTGATCAAAAGCTCGAAATTATCAAACTAAGGTGTGATTTTTAACTAAGGTCAGAATGATATTTGTAGTAGTTCTATACTCTCGTAAGGACCCCCGCCCCCCTCGGAAGTTATCTTCGACACCGTACATCCGATCTTGACGAAACTTTCCATAAATGTTTGGCTTGATCAGTTACGGGAATGAAAAACTTTTTTTTGTCTCCAAGTCTTACCGTTCAGGAGTTTCTCAGAGAGCATGATCTACAAAGGACCCTGAAGTGTTTTCCAAGATTTTTTAATATACTTCAAGCTGGATAGTTCGGGTTTGTTTTGTTTTAAGCTAGATACCTAACTACATAGCTTGACCGGCGCCGATTTTTCAATTCAGCCTTTATTGGTTTTCCATCAACCTCCAAAATCCGAAAAAGCCTTCCGGATTTTCTAAAAATCCTTAATTTGATATAAAACTAAGATCTAATTCAAAAATCGACTCCAGTCAGACGATGTAGTTTCCTTTCCTCTTTTAAATAAAAAAAGAATAAACTCTCTATGACAAACTGCTGTAAAAAATCTTCGAAAATACTTCAGGTATAACTCTTATCTAGAGAAAACGCTGTATGAAACACTCAATTTTAGAACTTCTAGAAAAATGCTTGTAACTTTTTGATGCAACGTCATACAGAGTTGTGCAAGGTCTTATTTTGATCAGAAGCGTTTGCTTTACAAATCTGTGTGTTTAGAAAAATTTTAATTGCATAAGTATCTAGGAAACAGCTATTATTTGAAAATCCGGTAGAAAACCTGCTCAAAATCCGCGAAAAACCACTTTTGTAACCAAAAGCGATACAGATTCTGAAAGGAGACACTGCAGGCTATCTTTCCATGTGCTTATCTCAAAAGTGATGTTTTGACCGAAAATCACCATTTCTGGGGGGAGGGGGCCTTAATCGTACTTCTTCATCTTTATATTCTGCACATATACGACTAGAAACAAACGAAAATCGATGTACAAGAATTTCACTAATCGTAATTTTTTCTCTCCTTCGATTCGTTTCAAAAACAAACATTCACTTTGCTATTAACCTTATATAAAGCCAAATTTTTATCGAAAGTTCTAAAAGTTTTTTGCATACGTGCAGAAATGTGGGCTTATTAAACTGACAAACTCTAATCCAAAAACGAATCGGGTTCCTTAATAACCCTTTTCTTCTAGTTTTTTTCAAATTATCTCTTCAATAATATATTTGGACTATAAAGGTTATTTTTGTAGAACAAAAACATTGAAATGATGAAAGTACACAGAACTTATCCCATATGGCTTCATTTACTTCACATTGTCTATCACGGAGGTATTTTAGTATTTCAATTAGTCGGCTTCGGTTCTTCATTACGATCACCGGGTGTCAATATCTCCGCCTCAGAAGTCGTAGGTCCCGGCTGGCATTTTCGTTATTTCACAACATGGATTCTAGCAATTTTAGGATTGTATATGTTTGCAGCTTTCCTATTTGATATTATTCTTATTCTAAGAGGTATAAATGATTTTATCACTAAACAATTGAGAATACATCTCGATCGATTTTTCTGTTTGATGTTCTCAACAAGTGTCGGGATGGGCTTCTTTTTTCATTTACTATTCTTCATTGCTTGCAAGAAGAACGATCGTTGTCCCAACTATACCGACTCCCTGTGGTTTATTCATTTGATGCCATTCTGGTACGGCTTAGCCGAACATTTCTTTGTTCCACATAATACCAAACGAGATGTTAAAACTACACCGGCTCTCGTTTTCATCTTCTGCTTAATTTATTTTATCAATTATTGGCTATTTGTTGCACAAACTCAGGGCCACCATCCCTACGGCGATCCGTGGCCAGTATGGCAATGGTTCGCCTATTTCTGTATTCCGTTGACAATGATTGTACTGAGAAGTTTGGCCTTTGTGCGAGATCGATTATTTTACAAGAGGCGATTGCGGTCACACTGTGTTCATCCAACAC